ATGCACCCAACCTAATCATGGGTAGTGTCTTCATGTAGTTGTATACACAGCTTTTAGTATAATTTTATCCTCATAATTTAATTTAATGTATGCAGAAGCTACAAAAGGTGACTGGAGGCCTGACAAGGCTGGCATCAAGGACGAAGGGGCGGAGGGAAGACAGCATCGTCACCCGCAAGATCAACATGCCGATGTCAGATGTGCAGATGGCTACTTTCACCCATATCTCCATCATTGGGGATCTAGTGGACCTGCAGCACAGGCAGTACCTGCAGGTGAGTTTTATTGATTGTGTACCATTAAGTGCCCACTATGATTTTACTTTGTTTATTTATTTTACATATGGGTAGTTCCATGAACTTAAGTCACTATTGAATAATTTTGGTAAGACTATGTAACTTCACCAGTTTATGCTGTTCCTTGAATTTTAGAGAAGTATTTATTTGTTGTACTATAATTATTGTTATTAACTTGTAGATATAGAAACCATTCCCTGAATATTCAAGAAATGTGGTAAATAGGAAATCTTAGGTAGGCCTATTAAATGACTTAGAAGCCATCTGTGTGTATAAAAGGAAAATGAAGCAAAACCATAGTGGACAATATATACATGCACACCTAGCATCACCTGGTGAAATGTAGATACATTATGAATGCCTGTTTACCTTTGAAAGAGGGCCTGAAGCCAAGACTTCCATTACAGAAACAGAAACACATGGCAAGCTATGTCTGGGAGTCATGGGAGAGATGTGAGAGGGAGCTGACGAGGGAACGGGGACTTTGGGGGCCCATGAAGGGTTCGCGCCTGAATAAGTGGATCCTAGATGCAACAGAAGGACCTTGTCGCATGAGGAAGAAGATGGTCCATAACAGGCACTTCTACAAGCACTATCCTTTCAAACCCCAAACAGAGAACTACGAAAATGTGAGTATTTTCGGTACTTTAGGCGATTTTCTTTTTAAATAATTCTTCTAGCAATGTTACATACTTTAACATGTCTGTTCATCACTTTTTTTTTCTCTTGCAATCACAGAAAATGCTTATGAAATGTTAATTTACTGTCTTAAGACTTCATAGAACACCATACACACACTCAGTGCCATCCAATTGTGAATGCTCACCCGTTTGTCCATTCCTAGCGTCACCTCAAGTACAAAGTGGCCACGAGCTTTGACAGCAAGGAGTATGCAGAGAGACGACGCCCTGAAGGTCTCACAGACCTTGAGGTGCATGAAAAGGAACCGGTCATTGAGGAGGAGACAGCCAACCTTGAAAATGAGAGCTTTGCAGGAAGAGAAGTGTCCGATATAGGTAGGAACTTTGGGAGTTGTTGGCTTAAATGAATGGGTTTTCAACTCATGTGTTGCTTCAGACTATGAACCCATCCCCCCCCCAAAAAAAGAAGAGAAAAAATAGTCACAATTTTTTTTATTTTTTTTTTTTAATTTGTACTTGTATATATAGATACCATGATTTAAAAAGAAAAGTTGATGTCCATTTCATAAAAGTTTTGGAACTTCTCTTTGTCTGTTGATGCACCCAACGTAATCATGGGTAGTGTCTTCATGTAATTGTATTCACAGCTTTTAGTATAATTTTATCCTCATAATTTAATTTAATGTATGCAGAAGCTACAAAAGGTGACTGGAGGCCTGACAAGGCTGGCATCAAGGACGAAGGGGCGGAGGGAAGACAGCATCGTCACCCGCAAGATCAACATGCCGATGTCAGATGTGCAGATGGCTACTTTCACCCATATCTCCATCATTGGGGATCTAGTGGACCTGCAACACAGGCAGTACCTGCAGGTGAGTTTTATTGATTGTGTACCATTAAGTGCCCACTATGATTTTACTTTGTTTATTTATTTTACATATGGGTAGTTCCATGAACTTCAGTCACTATTGAATAATTTTGGTAAGACTATGTAACTTCACCAGTTTATGCTGTTCCTTGAATTTTAGAGAAGTATTTATTTGTTGTACTATAATTATTGTTATTAACTTATAAATATAGAAACCATTCCCTGAATATTCAAGAAATGTGGTAAATAGGAAATCTTAGGTAGGCCTATTAAATGACTTAGAAGCCATCTATGTGTATAAAAGGAAAATGAAGCAAAACCATAGTGGACAATATATACATGCACACCTAGCATCACCAGGTGAAATGTAGATACATTATGAATGCCTGTTTACCTTTGAAAGAGGGCCTGAAGCCAAGACTTCCATTACAGAAACAGAAACACATGGCAAGCTATGTCTGGGAGTCATGGGAGAGATGTGAGAGGGAGCTGACGAGGGAACGGGGACTTTGGGGGCCCATGAAGGGTTCGCGCCTGAATAAGTGGATCCTAGATGCAACAGAAGGACCTTGTCGCATGAGGAAGAAGATGGTCCATAACAGGCACTTCTACAAGCACTATCCTTTCAAACCCCAAACAGAGAACTACGAAAATGTGAGTATTTTCGGTACTTTAGGCGATTTTCTTTTTAAATAATTCTTCTAGCAATGTTACATACTTTAACATGTCTGTTCATCACTTTTTTTTTCTCTTGCAATCACAGAAAATGCTTATGAAATGTTAATTTACTGTCTTAAGACTTCATAGAACACCATACACACACTCAGTGCCATCCAATTGTGAATGCTCACCCGTTTGTCCATTCCTAGCGTCACCTCAAGTACAAAGTGGCCACGAGCTTTGACAGCAAGGAGTATGCAGAGAGACGACGGCCCTGAAGGTCTCACAGACCTTGAGGTGCATGAAAAGGAACCGGTCATTGAGGAGGAGACAGCCAACCTTGAAAATGAGAGCTTTGCAGGAAGAGAAGTGTCCGATATAGGTAGGAACTTTGGGAGTTGTTGGCTTAAATGAATGGGTTTTCAACTCATGTGTTGCTTCAGACTATGAACCCATCCCCCCCCCAAAAAAAAAAAGGAGAAAGAAAGAGAGAAAGAAAGAAAACTAAAGTGGACCATCTCCTTTTTGAGTGGTAGAGAAAAGTAGGCAAAAAGTCTTTAGGTTTGAATTATATTTCTTGCAGACAGACTTTAAGAACTCTATAGCATAGGACATGTAATATAGTTTTAGTACATTTTTTTTAATGAAGACTCAGTTTATTACCAAATGTGTTGAATGTCCATTATGTATTTTTTCCCCCCCAAAAAAGAAGAGAAAAAATAGTCACAATTTTTTTTTTTTTTTTTTTTAGAACTACTAATAGTATTTTGAACCTTCCCTTCACGCTAGATGTCCAGGGGCTGCAAGGTGCGATTGTGAAGAGTGGAGGCCTAAATAACAGAGCAGCTTCTGAGGCGGATGATGAAGGGGACACCCTAGACATTGGTGAGATGGTGGGCCAGGATTCCAACACGCCCACAGATGACTCCCAAAATCCTGATAATCAGACACTCTTAAGGCTGTTAGACTATGGTGAAAAGGTAAAGGAATGATATTTAGCTCAAGTGCTTTGAATCATTATGTTATCATTGTCTGACTTTTTTTTTCTTCCATTTCTCTCTATATATATTTTTTGTTATTTATTGGTGAGCAAAGACACTAAATGTGTAATTGAGTCATGTATTTTAATTTTTTTTCTAGTGCCTATTCTGCATAACATGATACAAGGAAAAATCAGATCTTTTATTGCAAAACATTTTACCAGAAAGTAGTTCACTAAATCATGTGATTGTTGTCCTAACCCAATGCCACTAGCTTCCTGATATGAAATCCCTCTCTCCCGGGTTGTATTCATAATGGCCTGGGCCCTGCTGCTGGGGATCGTGTTGTCACCATAGTGTATGTATCATGACTATACAGGCCCCAAGAAATTGGGACTGGTGCCTGGAATATAGTCCAGGCATGCCATGGCTTGTACGTGTATGCCACCAGGCGGCAACAGGTAAAAACAAATATTTTAATTTCACTCTCCTTGTATCGGTCCAGATCAGCCACATGTTCAGATGTGCAAGGATTCAGGGTCTGGACACCATCGAGGGGCTGCTGCTCTTTGGCCGTGAGCACTTCTACATTGTGGACGGCTTCACCCTCCTCAAGTGCCGGGAGATCAGGGACATAGCCTCGCTGCCTGAGGGGACGCACGAGCCCATCATCCCTTCAACCAACCCCATGACCAGCCTGGAGCACCATGCATGCTCCAAGTTCCATTACGATGAAATTCGGGAAGTGCACCAAAGAAGGTGAATATAAACAGCTCAATGATTATATGATGTAATTTGTTATTTCTTAGTTACGTCTGCTTAAGGGGATCTTTGATTTTGTGAAACCTTTCTACTTTGTTTTATTTTCTACTTTGTGGTGTGCATTGTGTTTTAAAGTTCTTAGGAGATCTGTAAATGATTAAAGATCACATAAAAGATTCATCATGATGCTCACTCCAATTTCATTTGTCAGGTGATATTAATTCCTTGTTCTTTTATTTTCAGATACTTACTGCAACCCATTGCTCTGGAGATTTTCTCATCTGATGGCAGAAACTACTTACTTGCCTTACCTAGGAAACTTCGTAACAAAATATATCAGAGGTCAGATATTTAAGGAAATCATTAACCTATTTTTTGTATTGTTGCATATCTTTATTTATAGTATATTTTCATTGAAGTCCATGATTATTACTCATGGAATATAGATCATGAACAGAAAGTTGTGCAGTTTCTTCAAACAAATCAGTTTAAGAGTACATATCTTATTTGGAACTTTCAAAGTATTTAACTGAACTCAATTGCAAAATATTCTCTTCTCCAGATTGATGGTAGTATGCACAGGCCTGGCAGACAATGCACAGCAGTCTGTTGAAGGCCAGAGGCGGTCTGCAAGCGTAGAGCAGGCTGGAGGTCTGTTCTCATCTATAATTGGAGAAACTTCGGTTACACACAGATGGGTGGTAAGTTAGCTTTTTTAGAAAGTGAATTGTAGTATGTAAGTGATGGTTGTACAGCAAGTTTTGATAAATCTTGTATAGAAAGAATTTTTGTTCATGTTATAATTTATGACAGCTCTTTGTATTTTCTAAAACAAGTCTTCTCATTGAAAGTAATTGAAACCTGCTATTTTCCAGCGTGGGGAAATCAGCAACTTCCAGTACCTCATGCACCTGAACACACTGGCTGGTAGGTCGTACAATGACCTGATGCAGTACCCAATCTTTCCTTGGGTCCTAGCCGACTATGCATCTGAGGAACTGGACCTGACGAGCTCCATCACCTTCAGGGATCTTTCCAAGCCTATGGGGGCACAGGTCAGTGTTGTTTTTCTCATAGCTTTGCTTTTATCCTTCTTATCTCATCCTGTTTTTCAATCTTTGTTTTTTTTTTCTGTACCTTACTTTCTAATTGATTATTTTTATTATTTATATTTTGTACATTTCTTGTAATCTCTTAGTGAACTTGTTTTTCCTTCTTTAGATTTTGTTTCTGTTTTACAACTTTTTTTCTCTTTCATTTTTTTTTCTCTTCCTATATCCCTTGTTTTCCTTGTCCATGTCCTCTTTTTACCCGAATTTTAGATGTTTCTCTGATTCTTCTATTTTATTATGAAGAAAATATTTACAGAAAAAACTTTTTTAGTGTTATCTGACCTCTGACCCCTACCCTGACCTTGCCACTGCCCTACAGACCCCCGAAAGGCTGGAGCAGTTTGCCAAGCGCTACCGGGAGTGGGACGACCCTTCTGGCGAGACCCCACCCTACCACTACGGCACGCACTACTCCTCAGCCATGATCGTCTCTTCCTACCTCGTTCGGATGGAGCCCTTCACTCAGCATTTTCTCAGGTTACAGGTAAGTTTAGAATTGTTCATCTTTTTTTTTCACCTTTATTTTTTTCCTACCATGGTTTGATAGATACTGTAACATCCTCGCACTGTTACAATTGCCCTTGCAACTGTAAGTCTGGGACAAATAGAGTTTTAGTTACTAGTTTTTTTGTTAGATGAGAATTGGTTTTGAGATGTATTGTGGAATAATTTTCTTGTTTGTCATTTTATTTGGCTATTAGTAACTCTTGTTAGGAAAAATGTCTGCTTAGATTTGATTTACTGCTTACTGAAAGAAGTAGATTTACTTCACAGTCTGAGGGTAGTATATTCCATGTTTATTTTAAATGGGGCTAGGGAAGCATGGTAAGTTATGCTTCCATTAAACAACAACACAACTTAACAAGTGATTTAGAATTAACAACAACAAAAAAACAAGCACAAAAGCCTATGAAGAATATTAATCGAAAAAAAATTGTCTTTTTTTTTTTTTTGAAACCCAAATCATGAAAAGGATATTATTTATATTATTAATTACTGCTAACTGTTTTATGCTGTAGTCCCTTGATTCCCTTAACATAATTCTGCTTTTTTGATTGAGTTCATAGAGAAATAAAGATATTGCATTCTGCTCTTTGTCTTTTATTTGTCTGTAACAGGTTTACAAAGTTGCAGTTGCTACCATTAGCTAGTACCATATTAGTAGTACCCTTGCAATTGAGAAATCGGTATCTTTTCATTTGTTTGCTTGACCTTTCAATTCAACTCTTGGATATTCTTCCAGGGCGGCCACTTCGACTTGGCTGACCGTATGTTCCACAGCATGAAGGAGGCGTGGCACTCTGCCTCTCGTAACAACATGGCTGATGTCAAGGAGCTCATTCCCGAGTTCTTCTATTTACCTGAATTCCTCATCAATTCCAATAGATTTGACTTAGGTTAGTGGTGAATTTTTGTTTGACTCCTAGAGTGTTTGATGAATATACATTTTCAAGTCTTGCTCAGGCTCTTCATGATACAAGGGGTGTTGAGTGAACATGTGATATGATAAGCCGTTAACCCTAACAATCTGGGTGACATGACCTCATGTCATGAAAAAATTTGGCTTAAGTGATGGGTGACATGAACATGCCAACAAGGGGAAATTTAGCTTCTTGGCTACATTTGGCTGTATGATACATCATTTGGTGGGAAAAACAATTTTTACTAATGCTATGAATATCGATGGTATTATTTTTATTATAGACATCATAATAACCATTAGTAACAATAAAATCAAGGAAAAGGGTAAACAAGCGAAACAGGCAGTACTCGTAATTGGTTACTTAATACAAGTGTAGCCATTTATGTATAAAAAAAATTAATAAAGTAAACTCACAGTTGGCATGTATGTACATGTCATGCCTATTGGTTTTATGATTTGCAAGTTTCACTTTACTCTGTTGAACTGAATTTACCTTGAGGAACTATTCCAATTACCAAGTTGTAGTTAATCATAAATATTCATACTCTCTTCCTAGGTTGTAAACAGAGTGGGACACAGCTAGACGATGTTGTGCTCCCTCCATGGGCTAAAGGCGATGCACGGGAGTTCATTCGCTTGCACAGAGCTGCCCTGGAGTGTGACTATGTCTCAGCACACTTGCATGAATGGATTGACCTGATATTTGGGTACAAGCAGCAAGGACAGCCCGCAGTCGAGGCTGTTAATGTCTTCCATCACCTCTTCTATGAGGGAAATGTGGATATTTACAGGTAATGGAATAGTTGGGCAATGAAAAAGAAGTACTGAATGATTTTTTTTCTTCTTTTCTTTTTTCTTTTACAAGTGATTTGTTCGCTGATCCAAAGTTGTTTTTTTTTAATGATCTGTTTTCACATTCAAGTTTTAAAACAAGGAAGTATAAATAATGATAAGGCTTCCTGTAGCTGATATACCTTCATGAGATGTGTGTTTCCCCACAGCATTGATGACCCACTGAAGAAGAATGCAACCATTGGCTTCATTAACAACTTTGGCCAGATTCCCAAACAGCTCTTCCGCAAGCCCCATCCTTGTAAGAAGCTCTCAGGCCAGCGTACCTCGCTGATCGACGGTGGGCCTCTCTCTCAGGCCCCATCTGTTACACCTCTTGAGAAGGTCTTTTATCAGAATTTGGATAATCTTAGGCCTACAATGCAACCCGTTAAAGGTTAGCCTATATCTCACTGGTGTGATTTTTGTTGAAGGTTTCATGTTCTTGCTCCAGTTGTTGACACCTCAGAAATGGTTGTCTTGAGCTCTTTAAAATAGCTGGAGTACAGTACATCATAATTTAATATATTGTATACGTATTTTTTTCCTTTATTTCTTTTTTTTTTTTTTGCATTGGTTTGTGCCTACATTCAGTTTAGAGCGATTGCTTTTGCAAGATAAGCAGTAATTTACCAATATCCCCGCAGAAGTGAAGGGGGCTGTGGGACAGATCATAGCACAAGACAAGGTCATCTTGGCTGTAGAGCAGAACAAGACATTGATCCCTCCAACGTACCAACGATATTTGGCCTGGGGATTCGCAGATCAGAGGCAAGTATAGTTTTATTGTGATTTTTAGTATTGATATTTCAATATGGGTATTGCCATTGACATTTTGGCATTGTGTTTCAGTCATGGTAATAGACTTTTTTCAGTTGGTCTGTATGCATGAGATTAGAAAAAGAAGTGATTTTGAATGTTCCTTGAATTAAGATTTTGTACATTTTCCTTTACATTCTTGTTTGTTTATTTTTTCTACAGCCTTCGTATTGGTGGTTATGAGAGCGAGCGTGCAGTTTTAGTGAGTGAAACTCCTCAGAATGGGGAGATTTTAGCAGCTGTGTGCCCTAACAACAAGACTATAATAACTGCAGGGACCTCAACAGTAAGGCATTATGTTTCCTTGTATTTTTGTAGATGTTTTAACCCAATGCTTTTTGGAAAATGTAGTGTTCACAGTATTATTATTTTGTGAAATGTCTCTACATTCACCAAGGAGTCAATTAGTAGGCTTCATGACCTCACCTGATTTCACCTTTCCTTGAGTTTTCAAGAAAAATATGTTTTTGCTAATGATGCTGTTATTATTATTATGGACACGGTTATTGGGATGCTATTAACATTACTAACAGCAACAGGGGATAAAAGAAGTAAAAAAATAAAAGTGTAATTTGGCTCATTGGTGACTAATCACTTATGAAGCCCAGTGACTTGTTTTTTTTTTGTTTTTTTTGGAGGGGGGCAGTGTCTCTTACTCCAGGTTAGTTTTTCTCTCATGGGAAGATGAATAGGTTCAAGAGGGTTCAAAACTGGTGTTTGTCAATTGTAATAACCAGGCAGATGAGAGTGACTTCTGTTACTAGGCTTTCTTAGATGATTGTATGTTTAAAGTGTTGCTGTCATTTATATTCAGATGAACAGAATATAGCTCATACAACTCTTAATTTCAGTTTCTTTATCAGAATTTCCCGGTTATAATTTTTCATCATTGCAGGTGGTGAATGTTTACGAGATCATCAAGCGTCAACTGGTCCATAAGAAATCGCTTTATGGCCATAGTGACGGCATTACGTGCCTGGCAGCGAGTAGCGCATATGGCCTCTTGGTGTCAGGGATATATAATATATATATATATATATATATATATATATATATATATATATATATATATATATATATATATATATATATATATATATATATATATATATATATATATATATATATATATATATATATATATATATATATATATATATATATATATATATATATATATATATATATATATATATATATATATATATATATATATATATATATATATATATATATATATATATATATATATATATATATATATATATATATATATATATATATATATATATATATATATATATATATATATATATATATATATATATATATATATATATATATATATATATATATATATATATATATATATATATATATATATATATATATATATATATATATATATATATATATATATATATATATATATATATATATATATATATATATATATATATATATATATATATATATATATATATATATATATATATATATATATATATATATATATATATATATATATATATATATATATATATATATATATATATATATATATATATATATATATATATATATATATATATATATATATATATATAT